CAAATTAAAACGAAAGTAAAGGATTACTATTTTTGTCACATCTTGATCAGAACCTCTGCCACGAGTCTGACACGTTAATTGTAGGTTAAAGGGTTAATTAACTTTGGTTCAGAGGAAGAAGTTTGGAATATGACATTGTCAAAATTAATTTGTTCAACACGAAACATAATTATGGAAACGTCTAATAAGCATCGAATCTTCGTATTTTGTCCTTGACTTGAAATCAAAGAACTGGAACTAGATGAAGATGTTTAATTGGTTTTTGGTAGCTGAAATTCTAAAAGGATCAGTTTTGAATGATTTTGGTTCAGAGGAAGAATTTAGGTACACGACATTGTCGAAATTAATTTGTTCAACAGGAAAAACAATTATGGAAACTTTCGTCTCTGATTTGAGGTAAAAAAAAGAATTGAAACTAACTGAAGATGTTGAATAGGTTCAAATGTTTTCGGCAGTCGAAATTCTCCTACTAAATACACCAGATGTTCACCGCCTCGATAATTCTTCTCGTAGGTTCAATTTGAAAAAAACATCGAATCGTCGTTATTCTGCCACCAAATGACCCGTGCAATCTCGTTAAAATTTCTCGCCACCTTGCCCGTGCACGCGTTCTCACTCCATTTCCATTCGTGGCACGACCAATCAGGCTACACGTGTTTTACACGTGATAACAAACGATCGTCCGAATCCCAGCGACATCGTTTCCCTTAGGTAACGAAGTTAATTGCTCATTTTCTCATCTCGTTAACGTCGTTTCGAACGGAGGACACGTTGATGACGTAGGAAACGAGGCATATGTAAAGGAAATCGTCCATCGATCTCGCCACATGTTCAACCGGGCACTTTATTCCTTCCAGTGGTATTCCCATTTGTAACATCAATTGATCTTGTCACTCTTAATTATCAGATTTACAAAAAAAAAAAATTAGCAGATTTCTGTATTCGCGTTTGAACGACACAGCGATAAAAATCTGAAGTTTTAGAAATCTGGTTTCTGTTGATCAGGGCTGGTTGCTGTACCTTCAGTTTTTGGTGCGCAACCTCTAATTCGTTACTGCATGACTTTGCAGTGATAACGGTACCCGATCGTAGGAAACTGTAGCAAATTAATCCCGAATTAGACCACCAAACTGCGAGCACGATCTTTCCCGGGTGTAAACTAGAAATTCGAATTTTTATATACGCGGAACTACTGCTCTTTCAATTCGTTGGCAAATGTGTATCGAACATTATGGAAATGATTTTAACCCCTTGAACTGAAATGACGAGTCCAGCTCGAGCAAACTGACAATGACGAGCTGCACTCGCCAGAAATTATCGAGAGTTGAAGCTTTTTATATGAGAAGTATATGTAAGTCGTAGCGAGTCTTTTGCTTTGATACACTTGTTTGCATGCTCTTAGTAACAGTTTCAATGCAATTTGTACAAATCTATGCAGCCAGTATCGCGTAAAGTAAATGCACGTCACGACGTACTAATCAAGTGCAATAGCGGCTATTTTACTAGTGATATAGTCTATAGAAGTCATATTTTTGCGGAGGCGTTGAATCTTACGCATTTACGTGAGCTCGCCTCGGTCTAAATATTATTTTTACTAATAACAAACAATTTGAGCAACAAAACCGTAAGTTTCTACATCAGTCTCTACGCTTAAAACTAAGAAAATTAAATTGTCTGCCTGACAATAAATTGCAGTTCAATTTGCACTGTTAGGTAACTTAAGATTTCGAACAAACTGTTCTTCCAAAACACAAACTTTTGTTTATTACGTTTTCCATGCTTAACTTATATTATTGGGCGGCTTAAGATTTAAAACAAGCTATTTGTTATGATGTGCTCGTGGTAGTTGCAACCAACTTTCGAGCCTTGTCGAATTTAGCACGTGGTGTGCCGACTAAATCTAATAGGTTCGTCTTTCAAGGACCACCTCCGTGATTAGGAGGACAAAACAACTATTGCTAATGGTCTAAACTTCTTAAAGGAGCGACTCGTAGCGCGGTCAGATGACTTCTGTCTTTCCCTTTCGCGAAAGGTCCCACGACACCTCCGTGCGAGGACGCATCGCGGGGGTGAGGCCCTCGGATAGGTTGAATACATTTTTCGACAGTGGTGGGGAAGGGGGGTTGGCGAAAACTATCGGTTAAAATCATAGGTGGGAAAACTACACGAAAATGCCACCCCCCAGACCATAGGTCACTCTCAGGTACCAAGCGTACCCTTGAGTGACGCACGCGGGAATTCCGAGTGCCTCGAACAATGACCGAAGCAGACAACAACGTTAAAGACGCGCTTCGGCTCTGGTGACCATATGAACGCAAAAAATGTACAAGTGAAAAAAGGGGCGAAGATTCTAAGTCGAAAACGAGACAATAAAAGGTGAAAGCAAGTTCTTAGATTAAAAGAGGTCCGGCGGCTGACATACCTGTCGAGGATTAAACACTATTAATTACAACTAATAGTAAAAAAGAACTTACATTTCAAAGTGTTCAGTTTGAAAAATTAAAAGCACCGATAACCATACTCCCTGTGATTGACTTCACTCTCCCGAGGCTGAAGAGTAACTGAAAGTTCTGAAATGTCGTTGCGCACTTACCGAATCGATGTACGAAACTATTTGTAAATAAACGTACCAGCCTATGAATCGTGGTTTCGTAGAATCGCGATGTCTCGCTTGTATTGAACGAACCAACGTTGAACGATGCACGAAATTATTTGTAAATAAACATACCAGCCTGCGGATCGTGGTTTCGTAGAATCGCGATATCTCGCTTATACCACAACGAACCAACGTTACGCTTAGTTCGTATGTGTGCTAAATATTTCTAAATTGACCGAAACGTCTGAAGACGAAACGACACGAAGCTCGGATAAAGGTTTGCTTAAGGGGGAGACGGACGAAAGCGAAAGATCCACGATTAAATTCCCCATTACTTCCTCTTATTACGTGCTCGATTAACTTTCTGGTGTGAGTGGAGCCACTAAATTCGCCGGTGTGTAATTAACCAGGAGCGGCGTAACGAACCGCGAAAGCATAAAATTCTATTTTCTCAACCAGATATACTCCAGTTCCGTTCCACGTTTATCTCTAATCTCGGCTGTTATTAACATAATCGCGGATACACGGCCCACGCCAACAGGATATCACGTGTTTCTCATGTTCTTGCGCAGGAAATCATCGCAGGAAATAGACTTGAAAAATAGATTCAAAGAATCCCGCTGGAATTTCATCGTAACGAAAATAATTAGATTCCATTTCTTTTCTCTTCTTCTTACCGAATGATTCTCAATATTTCAATTAACTGGATACCGGTTTCGATGAAGTTTATTGCACGAGGAATGATACAATTTTGAAGAGATTTAACAGGGCCTACAATTGAATTGTTCGAGATAGGAAGAGCAATTAGTTACGATTCACCGGTGTAACTTGCGAAATATGGAAAACTAAATTTAGGAACAATTTTGAAATAGACACAAAGTAAACATTTTAACTGTAACATCGTTTATTTCTCAGCAAATAAAACATTCGATCGGTGCTGTGAAATTGCTACAGAATTCAAAGGAAGATATCGATAAAATGACGATAAAGGTATAAATCCTGAATTAAAAGACGTTATCTGTGGGAGAAATTGGGCGAAATCATGGGATCGAGGTAAAAATCGAGAGAAAACGCAACGGTCTAATATTAATGCATCATTTATTTAACACCTATGATGACGATAACATGAGATGGATACGATGCGCTTAAGGTAGAATAATCCGCTAGGCAAAAATGACAGTTGTGCGTGCGTGCGTGTGTTTACGTATGTTTACGGCATGATGATTAATTCTATGGGGGGGAAGGATGTAAAGAATAATTATGACAATTTGGGTAATAACTATTTTTTTAATTTGCTGACTCGGAGAGATTTCAGAATTCTTCTTTTCTTTTTGCAGCGCCCGGTGTTATGATACAATAATAGTAGTAATATATATATATATATATATACACACACATATATATGTACATATATATGTATACACATATATATATATATATGGCAAGATCATTGGTAAATAAATATTTCACTTAAAATCTGCAGCCAAAATTCGCCAAATAATTCAATCCATCGTTATTCCTCTCCAGCTTCTCTATCTTCCTTCAATAAGTTAACTATCGCGACGATGAATTTAGGTCGGATCCTATTAATTCACTAATCGATTCAATCGAAAGACAAGAAAACGAAAGAAAAAAATACACTCTACTACGAGGAATATTATTCAAGGAACATAGAACCCCTCTCATCTGCATTTTCACATCGACAAAATCGTTTTTTCCCTGTCAGCCAAGAGGACGTTCGCTACGAGAGAGAGAGAGAGAGAGAGAGAGAGAGAGAGAAAAATAAAGAAACACATTCGGTCGGTACACGATCGATCGACCCGATCCTTCCTCGTTCACACGAGTAGGTACTGTAATTATTTGGAAAATTTAGACACGCCTTTCGGTGGCCTAATAACCCCTAAACACTCTCTACAAACTAGAGGCTCTGTTGTTCCAGCGGCCGGTCGGACAATATCGTCAGTCACTATGAAGGTAAATAGTGCGCGCAAAGTATTCCTCTAATACTATCTGAGTTGTATGCTAATAGTAAATTCCTTAACGTAAATTAGGTAACACTATGTACACTTGCTCTCGCGACCAGGCGGCGTTTTGAACGATCAACCTCTTTCGCGATTTACGTTCGTCCGGCCGTATAACAAAAGTTCCTTCTCCTCCTCGTTTCAACCCCCTATACCCCCTAAACCCGAAACCAGCTCTCGTTCACCGGAAAACCCAACGATGGACCCATCCCCTAGCACGCTAATATCACGTTCGCGTCCTCCATGTTCACGCTCGTCCTCCCATCCAGATGATACTCCTCCACGGCGAGCGTCGCGTTCGCCATTTTGTCGCTACGTTCGACCGAACGAGGACAGCTCGTCGTCGTTCCCCCTTCGAATGCTGTCCGCGGTTTCGTGGCCGCGTATACTTCTCTCTTTCGCGGATGCACCCACCGGATGTTGCGAATTAATTCGGCCCACGAGACTCCGTGGCTCGCTTCTAGAACCAGTAGAGGTCTTTGGAATCCTGCACCTGAGACTCGAGACCTGCAACAGGAAACGTGAAACCGAGACGCTTAGTTTTCGGGCGAGATTCAAGGTGTATCGAGTGGATCGGTGGTTTGCGTTTCGGAGAAATGTGAATACGAAGGGTTTAGGGGAAACGAGAGAGCGTGGAATGGTGTTTCTTGTAAATTGGAGCGATGCAATGGAGATGGTAAATGTAACGTGTAGTTGGTGAAGAAAATTAGGTGGATCGGTAATTTTGTATTTGCAAGAAGTGTAAATAAGAAGTGTTTGTTGGAAATAAAGGAAGATGAAATTATTGACAAGATGCTGTTCTTAGAATTTGAAGCGGTATTGGTAAAATAATATCAATGTCAGAACTCAACTAACCCAACTCTATTTTATTTCAAAATTGAGTTACATTATAGGGGGATATTTATGCTACGTGATAAATTAAGAGGATTTAATTGTTCGAAATATTTCAAGTTCAATGCTGTCTTACACGTAATCACCTATGTCTCTTTCTTCTTCTGTAAAATTACGATGCAAAACTTGGGTCAGTCTGGCTCTCAGGTACAGAAATTCTGTTAATTAACCGGTGTCGCCAACGGGTCATTTTTGACCCGGCCTGTCGTTCTAGTATTAAAAAAACTCCAAGAAAATAAACTTCCTTTTACGATCCTCGTTTATTCCCTATCTCTTATAAAACAATTTAACTATAATAGAATTACAGATACTTTGACTGTAGGTAATCTCCACATATTCGAGGAACAAAAGAACAGAAAACAAATGAATTTACACCTGTTAGAATCTAAACAACGACATACACCTGAGAAAGTTCCTTATTATTCGAATCCCTGTAACAATCCTACCAACCTTCTCTATCCATCGATGCAACCATAACCGCCGCGTCGTCTGCAGTCTCGTGCAATCATCAATTAGACTCAAACGTTTACGACTGACGATCACGACAGGACTTTCACGCACAAGACAAGTAATTGGTTATTCGGAAAGATAGGAATGACTTTTTCGTTCGAGTGGCCGGCTCATCGTTCATCGAAATTTATAACGCGGCCAACCGCGTAATAAAAGAAGAGTCAACGTTTTGACGGATGCGAGGGTGCAGAACTGGTGATGGCACCCGCTGAGCGACACGGACGGACAAACCGACGGACGGACCAACGGAACGAATGGTCGAACAGGACGGTCAGACGGGGGACCAACAGAATATGTCACGAGATCGACCAGTTAAGATCTCATGTTCCTTATAACGGTTGCACGCATGCGTCCGTACCCTATCTTCGATCTTGATATCTCCAAAGAGTGACCCTACGGATCATCTTGGCTCTTGACGTCGTGCTCTTAGGCCGGCTAGAGTAAGTATGTGTACGTGCACCTTGGGAATCGTTCATAATTTAGAGGAAGTTTGTGACAATCGAGCGAAACTTGGGTAAATATTGTATCTATGCAAAAATTTGGGATTTTGGAATTTTTTGAAGGCTTCATTTTTCACTCCTGTTAATTTACCTGGATCCGAGGTATGAAAGCTATTGGAACATGGCTGCCAGTTGTTAGTTTACTATTGGAAATTTAATAAGGAATATTTCTTCACGAATGTGCTCAGAGGAATATAACGTAACTGACAGCTGTGCCATTTTGGGAAGCGTTAATATACGAATTTTTATACAAACGCATTGATAAATTTTCGAAAATTGTGGCAATTGTATTGCAGGAGGTCAATGACCGGAGCGGGCCGATCGTCTGGTCGAGCTTGTTTTTGATAACAACCCAGCGATACGAATAGGCGAAACGGGAGCAACTAACTCGCAAGACCTTGTTGTTAAACAAGAGCGAGTGTGTTTGTGCGAAAGAGAGTACGTGAGAGTGAGAGAGAGCGCGGGTCGCGAAGACCTTATAAACAGGGAAAACAATAGCGAGGATCGTTCATTTTTTTCCTGCGAAACGATAAAGCGTTATCAGTTTTGTATATCCTAATTATATTTTACTCGTTTCTAATTGCATTTTGCACTCCTACAATATCTGAGGTTAATGCAAGGTGAAGATATTTCAGCGCAAGCTCTACGAAGGATACGAAAAGGAACAGAACTTTGGTTGAAATTTGAAAGATGCAGTGAAATGATCGTTCATCAAATTTAATTCACCAAAATGTTTCTGCACCCTTGTGGATCCGTTACTTCCAAAAAATCTACACTCGGAGACTTACTTTCCCCCCAAAATTGTCCAACCATTCGTACCTGCGATGCTAAATGATTAATCACAGATTCCTTCAACCGTTTCAGGAAGAGAAATTGCAAAAGAAGTAATCCTCGAAAGAATTCCATTTTGATATCAATCAACGGTAACTCGAACCGTCCACGATGACTACTCTGCTCACCGTCAATCGACGTGACTCTCTCCGTCCGATGTTACACGTCCGCGCTTCTATCGAGCGTCTCTTCGATTCGTTGTAATTTCAGCCAGCAGGACGGAGACGGACGTTTTCGAATACTTTAATTCGCGGCACGTGGTGGACGGCACACGGTTGATTAAGTTCGTATCTGTCGGCGCACACGTGTCAGCACGTGGATCTACCTGCTTCAAAGTCAGCTACGTGTGCGTTCCGCGCGTTGCCATATTGGCGCATGCAACGCCGAAAGAAACACGAGCGGAAGCACAAAAGATCCGATCGCCGGGCAGCGATCCAGAGAACGCGAGGCGCTATTCGATAGAAAGCCGCTCGGCCGGAAAATGACGAC